CCTAATGGTCTGCCTGCTGTAGTTCTTGTGTAATCACATCCCTGTTTGCTGTAGTGGGTGGACCCCGGAGTCTGACTCTTGTCCTGAACTGTCTATTGTACATGCATTTCTTGATTGACAGGTGAGGGAGACTCATTATCTGTGAGATGTCTTATGACCTTACACTGTGACTGACAGGCCAGGAGACTCTTGATCTGTAAAGTGTCTTATGGCCTCACACTATACTGATAAGCCAGAAGACCCCTGATCTGTCAAGCATTCTATGACCTCACATGTTGACTGACAGTCCAGAAGACTCCTGATCTGCCATTCATTGTATGACCTCGCACTATGACTCACAGGCCAGAGGACAACTGGTTTCGTCACACGTCCTATGATCTCACATTGTGACTGGCAGGCTAGGATACCCCTGGTTTGTCACTCGTCCTATGGACAGGCCAGGAGACTTCTAGGGTGAACCTCCACTTTAGTGGGGACACCGAGGTATGAACATTAGGAAGACATTCCAAACCATCTCCACTCTGTCCTAAGTTGTAGAATAAGAGCCGATTCACACCAGATGCATTGGAACTGCGCTGGCGATTTGTTTCCAGCGCAGCCCCAATGCAAGACAAGGCACTGTGACATTTCAGTAAAGTTCTAACAAAGAAAAAAGTACACATAGAGATGTGCTGGAATCAGTGCTTTGGGACTGTGACGGGGCACCGCACACCAGGTGTTGTGCGATTAGCGCAGTGTCTGGTTTGAATGGGCCCTATGTGTTGGGAGTAGTTGGGTTTATATTTATATGCACCGATACTAGTATCAGTGCCGATACAAGGCATTTTTCAGAGAACTTGCCCTGAAAATGCCCCAATACATTCGATTTTTCTAGAGTAGGAAAGGTAGGCACCTGCGTCAGAAAAAGTACTTTTAATTCTTGGGGCTTTTTTAATAGTCAAATTCAGCATGTTTTCCTTTTAAGATGCATTTTAGATTCTTTGTCCTTTTCTGAGCTGCTCCTGACCTGCTTTTGAGCTCCAATGGACTTTTTATGAGGGGAAAAAAAAAGCAGCTTTAGTGCAAAACAATACCCCTGTACTAAGCGTTATAATTGTACAGGCTTACTTAGGAAATTGAAAATATATATGTGAAAAAAATTACAAGTCACCTGAAGTCTGACAATTGCTGACCTTGCACAATGTCAGCAATGAGGATGCTTAACAGTGTTAAATAACAGAGCCATGTAGTTGTTTACATTCCTTTTAGTTACTGACTTGGTTATTTGACTCTGGAGGTGTAAAGAATGTAAATATAGACACCCCCAAAATAATCTAATAACATGTTAAGGTTCTCTTAGTGAGGACACATTGACACTCTAAGTTAAACTCCTGTTTTTACAGAGAGGACACAGTGACACTCCAAGCTAAAATCCTATTTGTAGAGATAGGACACATTTACCAGAACACCTGCTGCACTGTAAGTGGAAAGGGAAACTTAGTTACTTGTTTCTGAGGGAACTTCCTGTTACACACTTGTTCCCTCAGTGATGAGTGTCCTCCATTCTATTGCAGTTCATATTAAAGCACCCTAATTTCACCCAACCCCGATTGCACTGTGGAGTTTATTCGTCAGAAGTGCAACACTGACCTTGCACAATGTCAGCAATGAGGATGCTTAACAGTGTTAAATAACAGAGCCATGTAGTTGTTTACATTCCTTTTAGTTACTGACTTGGTTATTTGACTCTGGAGTGTTGGAGATCTGACAGTTGACAATGCAGCAACCGTCAGATTTCAGCTTAACATGTTAGATCATAAATGTGTTTGGACTAATAATGCTCTAAAAAGAAAAGGACCTTATGATGTCTCAACGTATTTATGTTGTCTTCTATGCGCTTTGACTTTAGACTTGATCTGGGTCACACCACCGTCAAGCTGTGATCTACCACTCAATAGTGTGAGAGCTTTCATAGACCCGTAAGACTGTTGCATTAGACCGGTAAATGGTGTGGGGTAAGGGGCTGCTTGCCCCACACCATTTACCGGTGTGGGGCAAGCAGTGGACCTTTACCCCCTTACACTAAAATCCATCAGAATGCATCTCTGCATGCTGCAATGATATCGTCTTACATTTATTAAAAAAATAAAAATAAAATGTTTTTTTGCTTGCAAATACTGCTTTTTCACTTCCTGGTTGTGTGAGGCACGGGTCATGTGGTCTTGGCCTTTTAGATGTATCATGGCAAGGCTACATCACCAGTGCCTTCCCAGGAAATCATCTCTAAACTGCAAAATCTCTCGATCTTGGGGTAAAAATGCACATAATGCCTATCACATATTCCAAAAGGCAGACCTAGAGTGCTAGGAAATAAAGAGAGATGGATTTATCTGCCCTTAGTGAAAATGGCCACCGTGAGAAGAATTGGGAAAAGAAGAATAAGGTATGCAAAAAAATTAAATTCCTACAAGTATCTGCTTGTAGATTGCCATTACTAAGCATTTGTAAAGGTGCCTATGTTGTAATTTTTCAGATAAGGGTGAAGTTTCTGAAGATATCACAAGGTATCTGATCTTTATATGTATCTTAACCTCTTGCCGTCCGCCCGTAGTAAAAAAACGGACGGACGGCACTGCAGCATCTGCGGGTTGCCGTCTCCAGACGGCAATTTTTTTCTGCTCGCGCGCG